TAATCTATGCAGAAATAGAAGTATAATGATGTACACCTGAAATTTATACAATGTTATAAACCAATGTTACTGCAATAAACAAAAAATTAAAAAAATATATAATGATGGACACCTGATATTTATATATTGATTTTCATATATCCTATTCGAACACTGTGGTCTTGGGAAATTTATTTCCCACCAAGACAAGATGGATGCATGAGTGCATGTGTTCCTGTTTTATCTTTTTGTTAATTTACTTATTTTAATCTTCATTAACTTTTTGTGGGTTGTAAATTTCATGATATACCAGAAAACAGATTGGAATGGCAAAGGGGAAGAAAAGATGGCCTTGACAAATTAGTATATGGCTGGTTACTGGCCATGCTAGCTTCTACCTAATCAGAGTAGATTTCCTAGAGGAATGCATTTTAAAATGTGCCAAGTGAAAGAGTGCACCAAGAAGATAAAGTCAGAGAAAGAGCTCATGTCGGTAGAGGGTTATATTAGTTTGCTAGGGCTACCATAACAAATTGCCACTCACTGGATAGCTTAAACAACAGAAATTTATTTTGTCACAGTTTGGAAGAGGCTAGAAGTCCAAGATCAAGGTGTCAACAGGGTTGGTTCCTTCTGATCATTCTCTCCTTAGCTTGTAGATGGCTGTCTTCATATTCATGTGTCATTCTCCCTCTGTCTTCACATAGTCCTTCCTCTGTGTCCTAATATCCTCTTCCTATAAGGACACCAGAACCCACCTCAATGATCTTGTTTAACCTTAATTACCTCTTTAAAGGCCTTGTCTTCAAATACAGTCACATTCTGAGGTACAGGGGTTAGAACTTCAACATATGAATTTTGAGGGGACACAGCTTGTAACAAGGCTATACAGCCTTGATTTGTATATCTGCCTCATATGAGTGACCATTAAAGGTCAATTACAAGTAGTGATTAATTTTTAAAACTTGCAATTTAAAAACTTGCAACAGAACCGAAATCCACACATAGAATATAAAAATGGCAGGTGCCTCACAGTGTATTACAATGACAATTTCTTCTAGTGGCCCTCATGGATGACACATGACGTCCATCTGTATCATATGGCCTCAGAGACCAACTGTATGCTGAGGATGATAGCAAACCTATACTGATTACCATCTTTTGGCTGTATAACCTGGGGAGGATGATCAGTTGGAAACATCTATACAGTACATATTTATTTCAAAGGATGACACAAACATGGATAAACATGTTTAAATAAAATGTCACTTGCTATTGATACAACCCACTGCTCTGGGCATAGAAACTCTGCTGGGGAAGTTCCTCATCTCTTAGATTTTTGAGGTCGTTGAAGATCTGACTGAATTCCTATCACTCCTCCAACTTCTCTGCTACATTTTCCCAGGATTCTGGGTTGCATCACTGCAGAAATCCTCCGTCCACGCATGTGACATTCTAGATAACTTACCGACCTCTGTCTCTGTTTCAGTGGAAGCCCAGGCTACCTCAGAACTGGCTTGGGAGAATTGCCAAGTATGTAGAAACTATTAGACATTGCCAAAACCCTTTATGGGAAGAGAGATACTGTCAGGATAGCCATTGTAGAGAAGAATTATATCTTACTTGGAGGCTCCTTCAGAAAATGGTACTCTCTGAAAAGAGGTGTCATAGCTTCCAGAATGGCAGCCTCCTTTGTAATCACTGAAAGCTTGATATGCCTTGATCACTGACAGCCTCTGACTTGACTTTCTGTGTAGTGTGCTGAAGATGAAGAAACCCGTGACCTGGTTAGGCTGCATGGAGGACTTAAACCCTTGGCTAGCCTGCTCAATAACACTGACAATAAAGAACGGTTGGCTGCTGTGACAGGGGCAATATGGAAATGTTCCATCAGCAAAGAGAATGTGACCAAGTAAGAGAAGGCATTGCAATATTCTGTAATAAAAATATGGCCACCAAAACACATTCTTGAAATTTAATGCTGTTTTAATAAAGAGTCAATTCTAATGCTACTCTTGTAGTTTTCATGGATGTACGTTCTGGATTAAGTTGGCAGGATTAAGGGATTCTTAGAAATGAAAGACCCCTGCTTCCTATCCCACCACCCGGCAATGGTCATTTTCAAATATGACTTCACTGAATTTTATAGTATTTGTAAACTTTATGATCATTTGATTTAATCTTCAAATTTATCTCTTTATATATTTTTAGAGTTCACACACTCTATGATGGATGTTCTGAGGCAACTCTTCCTTGTTTCAGGCTGATGATTTTCTTTAACAAGAAATTCATATGTCCTATTTAGCACAAAATAGATTTATTTTGCTTTGTTCATGTAAAATAGTCTCTGTAACATGGGGGAAAAAACCCTCAGCATAGTGGAATCACTGATGCTCAGATCTGAAGGAAGTAGTTGTCTTAGAGGCTGTGCAGCCTAGTGGTTAAGGGCACAGGTCTGGAGCAGATGGCAGGGTGTAGATGTTGGCTTCACTATTTACCCAACTTCAGATTAGCCTTCTGAAAATGCAGATTATAGTAGTATCTACATCATAGGGTTGTTGTAAGGATTGAATGAGCATAAAGTTGACATTTAGTAATTTTTAGCTATTTATGTTATCAGCTATCTTTATACCAAAAATAATACTGTTCTCTTCTTTCCCTCCCTTCCTCCCTCTTTTTCTGATGAACTTAGGTTTCGGGAATACAAAGCCATTGAAACCTTGGTGGGACTTCTAACTGATCAACCCGAAGAAGTACTTGTGAATGTGGTTGGTGCGTTGGGAGAATGCTGCCAAGAATATGAAAACCGCGTCATTGTCCGGAAATGTGGTGGTATTCAGCCACTTGTGAACCTCCTCGTTGGAATAAACCAAGCTCTTCTTGTCAATGTCACAAAAGCAGTTGGTGCTTGTGCAGTAGAACCTGAAAGTATGATGTAAGTGGCCCTAGAGACTGGATTTTATCTGAGAGTGTTCAGGGAGACAGAAAGATTTTATCTGAGAATGTTTGGGGAACCACTTGGGTAGTCATGGAATAGTGTCATCATTTAGAATTGGTGTGCAGGAATGATGAAAAGGTAAAGTGTGTCTACATGTAAATAACTACAAGGTTACCAAATCATGACTTAACAGAGCCAGATTGTTCCCTTGGTTGAGCTGGAGGGCTGAAGCTGGGCATACTGGGAGGATTTAAAATACCCAATAATCAATTTCCTGTGCAGAAACCTTAATACAATCAAAAAAATTTTTGTCTGCCTCCTAGGGAATAAGTGTCTATCTAGCTCTCTATCTAACTGAGATCCTAGGTAGTTCTAGGTAGCATTTTCATAGTATCTTTCCTATTTCTCGATTCAATTCAGCAAACATTTTGAGCACGTAAAAAGAACTGTGAACTGATGAGGGGTTGAGACAAAGGATTTTGAGCTATGATCTTGGTCCTTAAGCAAATCCTTGTCTAATTAGAAAGAAAAGACTTAAATGTGGTACAATTTGAGAACAATAGCAAGATTATGTGGAGATTTTGTATACCCACACACACACACATATACACACACACACTTATACATGTGTATGTATGTGTATATATATGTGTGTGTGTATATGTAAAGTCCAGAGAGGGAGGAACCCATACAGGTCAAAGTTGTTCTATTAGGGTTCTCCAGAGAATTAGAACCAACAGGATGTGTATAAAAACAGAGAGAGGCAAAAAGATAGATTTATTTTAAGGAATTGGTTCATGTGATTGTGGAAGCTTGGTGAGTCCAAATGCTGATGGAGTAGGCAGGCAGGCTGGAGACTCAGGAAAGAGTTGCAGTTTGAGTTCAAAGGTAGTCTGCTAGCAGAATTCCTTCTTGCTTGGGGAGGTCAGTCTTTGTTTCATTAAGGCTTTCAACTGATTGGATGAGGCCTACCCTCATTTGGAGGGTGATCTGCTTTACTCAGAGTCCACCAATTTAAATGTTAATTTCATCCAAAAAACAACTTCACAGAAACATGCAGAATAACATTTAACCAAATATCTGGGCATCGCTTAGACCTGTGAGGTTGACACATAAAATTAACCATCACAAGTCCACCTCTTGTCAACTTGGCACCCATATACACATCTCCTTCAGCTATACTTAATCTCTATACAAAGATAATAATGAGGTCATACTTCTTTCTGACACTATACAACTATCCTACATATAACTGAAAACATGATAACCCTTTCCCCAGAAGAGAAAGCAAAGTCCTTGGGTGATGTTTACTCTTCTCCTTGATATCCTGTAACTTAAATACTATGATGTAAAGTTAACGATAATTAAATACTATGATATAAAGTCAATATATCATGTTACATGATAAGAAGATAAGAAAGGGAAGAAAACAAAGATATGTATAAATAACACACACGTTCATAATTCAACAAAATGAGGAAGAGTACTCATGACGATTACAATCCTCATTTCTGTAACTGATACGTGCTCATGGCTGGTATTTATAACTACCTTCTTTCATTACCCGTTCTGTGTTCCCTTTGCCCTCAGCAAGCATTCAGCTAGTTGTAGTTCTTTACCTGGTGGGGTGACCCAAACCGCCATTCTTGTAGGGTCTGGGCCATTAGTAATCCTGCCTGGATTGGGTTGTTGTACTTCTCCATTGACTTTAATCACAGGACATGGTCATACTTAAGAGACTCCCTAAGGGATCTCTTGTATTCCAGACATATTCTTCCTGACCCCTGTTGTGGAGTAGCAGTCCAATTTCCCTTTGGTAATCAGGATCAGTCACCCCAGCCAGCACAGTGACTCTCTTCTTTTCTTGTTGATTTAGAGGCATGGGGAGGCAAAGGGGCCAGTGGCAGTTTTAACTTCCAGTTCAGTAGAATCATTGTTGTGTCTCCTGGTAGAAGCATTTTGAACTAAGACCTCTAGGCCAGCAGAGCATAAGGTCACAGGGACAGGAAGCAGAAATTTTGCTAGTGGGTCACTAGGGCTAATAGTAAGTGGTAGGTACCACTCCCATTTCCACATCTTGATTCCTGGACCCGTGAATCCTGGCTATGGGAGAAATAGCATCACATTGTTTGCTCTATTGACCCATTCTGTGGAATCCCAGAAGTCCAACAACCTTCCTTTGTTTCGTCGCATATCTGTCCCCTTCAGTCCAAGATGGCAGCGTTTCTGCTTGAGATGGTTGATTGGATCCATGAGTCACACCCATAATCTCTTTATCATATGATTGCCAGCCACACCCTTGGTATTCTTTCCAGAACACACTTTCTCATTTTTTGCAATATGGATAAGCTGAAAAATTTCCAAATCTTCAAGTTCTGGTTCTTTTTTGCTTAGCAGTTCCTTCTTCAATTTATCTCTTTCCTCTTGCATTTTACTCTGCAGTAAGGAGAGATTAGGCCACACCTTCAACACTTTGTTTAAAAATCTCTTCTGCTAAATATCCAAGTTTGTCACTCACAAGTTTATCTTCCACAGAACCCTAGAACACAATTCAGCCAAGTTCTTTGCCACTTTATGACAAGGATCATCTTTCTTCCAGTTCCAATAACATGTTTCTCATGTCCATCTGCGACTTCGTCGGATGTACCTTTAATGTCCGTATTTCTACCAGTAGTCTCTTCAAGAAAATCAAAGCTTTTTCTAACATGCACCTCCAACTCTTCCAGCCTCTACTCATTACACAGTTCCAAAGCCACTTCCACATTTTTAGATATTTGTTACAGTAGCACCCCAATTCCCAGTACCAAAATCTATTACTAGTTTGCTAGGGCTGCCATAACAGAATACCACAGACTGGGTGGCTTAAGCAACAGGAATTTGTTTTCTTGGAGTTCTAGAGGCTGGAAGTCCAAGATCAAGGTGCTGGCAGGGCTGGTTTCTCCTAAGGCCTCTTTCCTTGGCTCGCATATGGCCACCCTCTTGTTGCCCCATCACGTAGTATGCTCCTAGTGTCTCCCTATGTGTCCTAATCTCCTCTTATAAGGACAGCAGTCAGATTGGATTAGGGCCCACCCTAATGACCCCATTTGAACTCAGTCACTTCTTTAAAGGTCCTATCTCCAAATACAGTTACATTCTGAGGTACCGGATGTTAGGACTTTAACAAATGAACATTTGAGGGGACACAGTTCATTTCATAACAGTTGTCATAATGAGTTCTTCATAGGAAGTGGGTTAAGTGTATGGTTAATGAATATAGAACCTAATTGAATGGGTGGAAGGGTAGGGAAGCATATTGAGGGAAAAATGAATAGAGACCTGAGCAGCGAGAGAGCATCAAGAATGGAAAGACCAATCTGAGGAAGAGGGAAGTAGGAGGTAGAGTCAACAAATAAGATGAGGCCAGGCAAAGGAAGGACCTGGATGGCTAATTTTACCTTCCTGAAATCTCAGTAATCTCAGCTCCCTCCTGAAGCTCTGTGGACGTTTAGCCTAGTAGGGGTTATGGAGGAAAAGATGAATTTCCATACTTACTGTACTAATACTGGATGGAGACAAAACACAGAAGAGAAGTTCCCTTTCAGTCTCGATACTCTGGCCCTGCCCCATCTTGAGTCCTGTAACTCTTCTGATTCCATCGAGGAAAAGAGATAAAGGACTGAGTGATTCAGACAATGCTGACTAGGAGAATTTTTCAGGCTATTAAGGAAGTAATTTAAACTTATAATTTGCATTTAGTAAATAGTTCGGAGTTTAGGGACAGGATAATATGGAGCTTACGTATTATTAATAGGTTACATATTTTTATTTTGAGTTACTTATTGTTATCTTTTAAATATATAGTCATGTGCCACATAACAATGTTTCAGTCAACAATGGACCGCATATACGATCGTGGTCCCATAAGATTAGTATCATATAGCCTAGGTGTGTAGTAGGCTATACCATCTAGGTTTGTGTAAGTACCATATAGGTTTCTGTGGGGGAGGAATAAATTTTCCTCTACCTTTCTAAGTTCTTCTGGCTGGTCTAAGAATTAAATTGACATAAGATAGATTAACAGGAGAAAAAACAAAAGTTTAATAATGTGTATATGGGAGAAACCCAGGAAAACTGAGTAACTCACCAAAATGGCCAAAGCCCTCACCTTAAATACCATCTTCAGCTAAAGACAAAAGAAGATGTTGGGGGCGGGGAGAGTCAGGGACTTCAAAGGGAAGGAAGGCAATTCACAGGTAGGTGAAAAGGAGCAGACGTTTGGAAAACAAATGTTCATTTGGCCACACAGAAACAGAAGATCACAGAGGGGAGCCCAACAAACAGGCTTTTCTAGGTTCCTCCCTGACTACCACCTAGTTCACGTGATGCTAAGGTGATAGCTTGTTTCTTGAGACAGATTTTTTTATCTGAATTCTTTTAGGCACTTAAGGAGGAGGTAACAAGAAAAACTTTCTGAGTCTTTTTTTTCTTAAAAATAATCCTCATGTTAAGGAGACACATTTTGGGGTGGCAAATTTGTTCCTCCTCAGTACACTCTGATGTTTGCACAGTGATGAAATTGCCTAATTTTCATTTCTCAGAACGGATCCCTATCGTTAAGAAACACATGACTGTATATATCTATCTTGTATACTTTCATTCTGATTCACTCATTCATTCATTCAAGTCATTTAATATATGTGAGCAGACACTCAGGGCTGCTGTGTATGGATACACCTTGCACAGCTCTAGGGAGCACCGTTCACGTAGACTACTGTGTGCACAGCACCATACGTCGTGTGGCCATACACAGAACCCTGCGGAGGTGCATTTTACTGTATGTTTCACCACTGGATCACTACAGAAAGCTTATGCCCTACGCTGGTAGTCTCTGGTAGGACCTTCTTCCTTTAGCCCACCTTCCTGGCATCTGAAAACAAGAATCATTTGTATTCAATCATTTATGCCCTCTTCCTTCACAGGAAGCCCAAAACTCTAAGATCATCCTAGAACTTTGT